ATGTATTTGTCAAAAGGGACTCAGAAGGGGAAAAAAAAAAAAAAAGGAAAGAAACCATCAGCCACCCATCCCTAGCTTCACCCCTCAGAGGTGACTCCAGTTGTGGTTTTGCAAAAGGAAGAGAATTGTCCTTCCTGGTTTCCTCTGCTATAGAAAAAACCAAACCAAACAAACAAAAAGCAGGAGGCATTAGCTTCCATGAATGTGTTTAATTTATTCTGAGGACTGCTGTCCTTTGGGCTCCCAGGCAAACTACATCCAGGGAGGCTGAACACCGATGACAGGCAAGCAGCTTTCCAATAAACTGCAGTATTATTGCAATAGACTTTGTAATACAATTTATGCTGTCATTCATAAATAACAATGCCATATGTCAACCATATTGCTTACACAAGTAAATCCATCAACGTGTCACTATTTGATTTATCTCAACAGCTTCTTCAAATATTGAAGTATAGATATATGGGAAGGGGTGTCAAGTGGGTGTACTACCCGAGAAATGTGAGTTTTTAAAAACTGCAATGCTTCTGCTTCCTCCTCCTTTCTAAGGGCTGAAGGGGAGAATCACACCTTCTAAATAAATACTGGTGCTTTTATGAGCCTTGGACATGTAAGAGAGTTTTGTGGTTCTTGGCCTGACCTTCTGAACGTACCTTATGACACAATGGTGTGGTTCCCAATCCCAGTGGATAAATGTAGGTCAAAGGCCTCTCTCCAACAACCTCCATCTCTGAAGGTAGAAGTGATTGATAATCAAATGGCAGTGTTTGATGACAGGCTAATTTTTTACCCAGTGTATTCTACCGTAGTGGGGAAGTACAGAGGGTGGTGCTTTTTCAACAGCTTTTAACCACAAAGGTCAAGTGGATGAGGGATGGGTCCAATTCTCACCAATCCAAACAACCTAAGACAAATCCCATGGCATCCACAGCTACCCAGCCCCAAGCCCTTGCCTTTGTATCCTCATGAAACCCACGCACGTGTGTGACACGGATCATACACTTGAGCCTGACCCGCGTGTTTGACTTCTCTGAGCCTGAGGACTGAACGGGAACTCAGAGGGGCCCAGAGAACTGCAAATTTTGGTGCAGAGCATCCTAAGCCCCTGGGCCCAGGCACTGCACCCAGCTCTCAAGTGGGCGAGAGGATTTGGTCCCTGTGGGTGCAGACGGGGTGGGCGGCCGGCCAGAAGACGCGGTTCTGGACGTTGCTGTCTAGAAGCCTGGAGAACCTGATTTGGTTGCGGAAAGCACTTGAACCCAAAACAGCCATCACTTCTGGCGCTGACAACGCTCGGCCTGGGAGTGGCCCCACCAACACCCCCTTGCCACCTCACCCGGCTGTCGGAGAGATCTGAGTGAACCCAGCATCACCGCCGACCCGCTGTCTGCAGGCAAACCCCCAGCCGGGCGCCCACTAAGCACCCATCGGTGCTCCTGGGCCGGGGTCCTCAGATCCTTCTATTTCCCCTTCGCCCTTGAACCCGTCCCCAGCGCGGCCCAAATGGCGCGAGCTTCTCCCAAGCCGCCGGGCACCCAGCCCGGCTGCCAGGAGGCCGCCCTTGCAGAAATCACGCGGGACCAGCGAGTCGTAAAGTAATTGCGGGGGCAATAAAAGGCGGCTCTGTGGGTCCCCCGGCTCCTTTCTTGTCCGCCCCACCATCCCCGAGTACCCCCTCCCCCCCGCCTGCAGAAACAATCAAACAAAAGCTCAAAAGCCAGGAAATGTCCAATTCACTTCCCTCAGAGTGTATTAATTGCCCACACCCATCGCAGGAAACTTGGCTGCGTTCGGGGAGGAACGGAGGGCAGCGGGAGCGGGCTGGGGTGCAGCCGCAGTAGCTCCCTCTGCGCCGCGGGGAGCCGTGGGCGCCAGCCCCAGCGTCCCCCGGGGCCTGGGCAGCTGGGCGCGGAGGGGCAGCCCGGTTCCGGCCAGCCGGGTATTTGCTGTGCCTCTCACCTACCCAGCCTCTTCGCGCCTTTACTCGGGGCTGGAAGGAGGTTGGAGTTCGGGGTGCAACAGCGAGGTCCGGAGTGAACCGTCCCACGGGCGCCTGCAGACCCCAGAGAGGGCATTTTCGTGGCTTGCCACATTGCTGCCTCTGCACCAGCCCCTCCGCCGCAACAGCGCGGACAAGGGCGTGCGTTTGAGCGATTGTCCCCAGTGGGCAGCACAGCCATGGAAACACGGGGGCTAGCTCCAGAGAGAAATGGCATAACGACTTCTATAGCCCCCTGCTTTTAAAACTAGTATTATTTTCTTCAACGCCCTGGAAATTGTTGGTGTTTATTTAGGAAGTGTGACTCAGTCCATTGGGTCCTTAGAAACTCGGGAAGTTAAGGGGGTTTGATTTGGCTCACAAATAGCTTGAAAAAGAAAAAGCGCACCTGGGGTCAGGCGGGTCATCACAATAACAAAAAGCGCGTCTACAAAATAAAAAGCTCTTTTATAAAGAAAGGCAATCCCGGAAATCCACGGCAAGCATTCCTGCGGACCATGGAGCTGGGCCTATTCTCAGGTTTAATTGGCAGGCGGTTTATTGGCGCCTTATTGGTGTTGATTGAAATTTTGCTCCCAGCCCTTTCTTTTAAGCATTAGCATCTCAAGTCGATTTACCTGAGTCAATTATCTTTTTAGGGTCTGGGTTTGGTCATAAATTTGCAAATATTCATTAAACTCACTTTGTAAATATCCCTCTCTCCAATAGTTACCCAAATCTCTATTATTGCACTAAGCAAGTTCTCTCCCTCCTTTTTCTTTAAGGCTTCCATAAAAAGAAATTGATCAGGGAGCTATATTTGAATTAAGACATATTAAATCGATGACAGATACATATCACGCTGTGTTTAACAAGAGTTGTACAAGGAGGCGGGTTCCAGATTCCACACGGCTGTGCTGCACCATTCTTCACATTTTTACAGCCTTTCCTTCATGCCTTCACCCATTAAACCATTAAATTTCAGCAATTCAATAAAACAAAGCAGTTATAATTTTGACCAAAAGCTATTTTGAAGGGGGTGGAGGTACCCATTTTATTGCACAATAAAAATGCTCAACAGTCCATATTAAAGGCCAGGTTGTGTTTATTTTCGTCTTTCTTTATCCATTCTTCTATGGTTTTGTTTTTACTTCTAACTTGCAGGAGTGAATTCAAAGCTGCCATTTTTGCAGGTATTGACACCCATTGTGAAGAAATTCAAATAAAGGAAACCCATTTGCAACGTTCCGAGAGGGAACCGAAGGTAGCTTGGTGAGGATTCCAGATAGGATGCTTCCTTCAGGAACCACCCATCCAGATGGCACGGCTCTCCATCGACCTTGGCGTGGCTGGCTTGAGATGTTTTAAGTTCTTGAAACAAAACAAAACAAAAAAACAAGCAAAGTCTCTTCCTCCTCAAATACAGATGTGGATTTTGTCGCTGCTGTTTATTAAAATATTTTTGTTAAGTCTCCACATGTGAACTTCATTGATGCCTAAAGAAAAAGCCTATTTGAAATTTGACGGCGGCATTGTCTTTGTTTACTTGTCAGTTTTTATAAGAGAAATGACATTCCCAAGCTCACAGGGAAGCTCCTTGTTAAACATTATCCACACCAATGTAAATGGCGCCATCGAATCAACTCTTTTGAAAATATTTCTTATTACTTCCCAGATCACTACCCGACCAAGGCTTTATGTGGGCTTTTACTTTGACTGCAAACGAATTAAGCTGAAAACAGGATTTACTATATCTCAAAAGAAAAAAAAAATCACACTCTAATCCTTGTTGCTTTCTAATAGTTTTATGAAGGAAGCAAAATAAAAAATTCTAAATCCTTAATTTCCTGAACATTTTCGAGCATGGTAAATTTCCAAATTTCTTTTAAAAATCTAAGCTTTTGGGGGCAGCAAACCCCTAGGGATCCCACATTTCTCAGTCTCCCAAAAGCGGTACAGGGACAGAATTCTGTCTAAAAAAAAAAAAGAAAAGAAAAAAAAAACCTGACTTGATATCAAGTCAAGAAAGGGACTCGGTTTAAAAAAAAAAAAGTCGTTTTTTGGTTTCAAAATAAAAAGTCTCGGCTAATTAAAAGCCGAAAAGGTGAAGAGTTACTGTATTAGCAGATAGCGAGGGCTTTTCAAATTTTTAATATTTTAATGGATGAGTTCTAATTAGCATTCTTTTCAAAGAAACTGAGGCACAGGGGCGGCGTGTATCTGGACCGGAAGGAGAGGTTCTGCTTACAGGACACGGCGTGTCTCACGGCTCCTGGCCACTGTTATCTCCGAGAGGCAAAAGTTAGAGTCGCTGCCCAATATCCTCCCTCCCGCCCCTGCGCTAAATCTAATTGGAAGTGGCAGATATAGAACCGATGAGTAGTGAGATTACACTCGAGCCAGTTCCTTTGAACCATGTTGAAAAGGACTCCATGAGCTAAAAAGTCGAGGTAAAACGGTTCTTTGGGGGTGGGGAGGTCTATTTTGACTTCACCTGGAGTATTTCGGAGCCAAATCACTCAAGTCGTTTTGCAACCAGGGAAGACTTTTAATAACCTTCCTCGTCCCGCCTCCAGTCTGTGCGCCCTGGTGAGCGCTGGGCAGACTGGGTGTCCAAGCAAGAAGTTTCTGGCATCACCGCACTACGGATATGGAGGAGGAGGAGGAAAGCGTTCGGGTGCTGTGGCAGACCAAGGTTACCGGGGTCCCCTCCTCGCGCTCTGCGCCCCGGGGTGCTGGGTCCCTCGCCGCCCCGCGCTCGGACCGCGTGCCGGCGCACGCCCTTAGCGACGATCGTCCGGGGAGCGCGGGGCGCTGCGCGCGCAGGCCAGGCTCAAACTTTGCAAGTGCAACTTGGGCATCCCCGGGGAGGCGGAGACGCGGGGCTCCGCCGGAGGGGGGGCGGGGGCGGGCGCGCGAAGCGAAAGCGCAGGCGGCGAGCGCACAGGGGCGAATCCCCGCTGGGCCGAAGGCCTGAACGGGAGCCAATCGGGCAGCCGAGGCTGCTGCCAATCACGCGACTCCCTCCAATCCCACCCGTGCCATTTCCAAACTCGCGGTCCCACTGTGCAGCTCCAGTGTGGTGTTCACTCTGCCAATCGCTGGAGGACAGAGTGGCAACAAGAGTAAGCAGAGTTAGGAGGCCAGGACAAAAGAAGTTAAAGAGCCCCTAATATATACATGTTTTTGAAGGCGGGCAGAAGGGAAAAAAGTGCCCCCAGTGAGGGTCTATGGGCCTGACTGTGTAGTTCTGATGGAGCCCCCTTTGAGCAAGAGGAACCCGCCAGCGCTGAGGTTAGCGGATTTGGCAACGGCTCAGGCCCAGCCGCTTCAGAACATGACAGTCTTCCCGGCGCTGGTCCGCGCGCCCGCCCACTCCCAACGCCGTGCCGCCGCGCACCTCCGCCCGCTGGACCTGGGCGCTGACCCCGGCGTGGCCGCCACTCCGCTCGGACCTGAGCACATGGCCCAGACGAGCGCGCTGGGCCTCGGCCCTTCCGCCCAGGCGCTCCCGGTGCAGCCCGAAGCTCCGGCGGCCGTCGCCCGCTCAGCAGCCTCGATCCCGCACCCCGGCCGCGGGGGCAGCAGTGGCGCGCAGCTCTCCGCGCCCCCGCCCCCAGCCCCTCCTCTTCCTCCCTCCCCGTCGCCCCCTCCCCCTTCCCCTTCCCCTCCCCCGCCTCCTCCTCCTCCTCCTCCTCCTTCTGCCCTCTCGGGCTACACCACCACCAACAGTGGCGGCGGCGGCAGCAGCGGCAAAGGCCACAGCAGGGACTTCGTCCTCCGGAGGGACCTTTCCGCCACGGCCCCCGCGGCGGCCATGCACGGGGCCCCGCTCGGAGGGGAGCAGCGGTCCGGCACCAGCTCCCCCCAGCACCCGGCCCCGCCTCCCCACTCGGCCGGCATGTTCATCTCGGCCAGCGGCACCTACGCGGGCCCGGAAGGCGGCGGCGGCGGCCCGGCGCTCTTCCCCGCGCTGCACGACGCGCCGGGGGCCCCCGGCGGCCACCCACACCCACTCAACGGCCAGATGCGTCTTGGGCTGGCGGCGGCGGCCGCGGCGGCTGCGGCAGCCGAGCTGTACGGCCGCGCCGAGCCACCTTTCGCGCCGCGCTCGGGGGACGCGCACTACGGGGCGGTGGCGGCCGCGGCCGCCGCGGCCCTGCACGGCTACGGAGCCGTGAACTTAAACCTGAACCTGGCGGCGGCCGCGGCCGCGGCGGCGGCCGGGACTGGGCCCCACCTGCAGCACCACGCGCCGCCCCCGGCGCCTCCGCCGCCGCCGGCGTCCGCGCAGCACCCGCACCAGCACCACCCCCACCTCCCAGGGGCAGCCGGGGCCTTCCTGCGCTATATGCGGCAGCCAATCAAGCAGGAACTCATCTGCAAGTGGATCGACCCGGAGGAGCTGGCCGGGCCGCCGCCGCCGCCGCCGCCACCGCCACCGCCCCCGGCCGGCGGCGCCAAGCCCTGCTCCAAAACTTTCGGCACCATGCACGAGCTGGTGAACCACGTCACGGTGGAGCACGTGGGAGGCCCCGAGCAGAGCAGCCACGTCTGCTTCTGGGAGGACTGTCCGCGCGAGGGCAAGCCCTTCAAGGCCAAATACAAGCTCATCAACCACATCCGCGTGCACACCGGCGAGAAGCCCTTCCCCTGCCCCTTCCCGGGCTGCGGCAAGGTCTTCGCGCGCTCGGAGAACCTCAAGATCCACAAGCGCACTCATACAGGTGGGTGTCTGTCCCCGGCCGCGCCACCGCCTCCTGCGCCGCCGCCGCCGCCTCCTGCGCCGCCGCCGCCGCCGCCTCTGCCGCTGCTTCTCCTGCTGCTCGCCTTAATTTTTCCCTCCTTCTGCTGCTGCTCTTCGCATACGTATAACCCGGACATGTGACTTCTTTTTTTTTCTCTCCCCCCCCTTTTTTTTTCTATGAATAAGTAATTCGATAGCACACACAGGCCCCGCGCTGGGTTCCCACACGGCGGAGTCTCCAGCGCGCCCGCAGCCCCTCCAACCGGGACCGGCCACGCGCTCCAGCCGCCGCCGCCGCCGCCCCGGAGCAGAAGCAGCAGCAGTCGGAGCAGGAAGGCGCCCAGGACGGTCGGCAGCCCCCACCCGCCCGGCCCCGGGAAGTCGGGGAGGGCGACAGGGAAGGGGGGCCGGGGTCGCCCGGGCCGCGCCTCGGTCGCTGCGCGGAGAGCAGCGGGCGTGGGATTTGCCGGTGCCTCCGGGGCGGGGTGCGTAAGGGTCCCCCCCCTCCGCTCACACACACTCGACGCGGACACCCCAGTCCTGCGACCACCCTTGTGCCGTCGCCCGGCCGGCCTCGCACAGGCTCACACGTGCCCAGGAGGGGCTGGGTTTGGAGGACCCGGCGGCTGTCCTGTTGAGGAACGTTCCAGTAGGAGGAGGAGGCCTTGCGCGCCATGGGGCTTGCCGGGGGTGGGGGTGGGGGTGGGGGAACCCGGCGCCACGGGGAGCCATGGACGCCGAGCCCCGCTTTTAGGGGGTGTCCCGGCCATGGTGTGGAGGCTGTGGGCCGCCGGCCGCCGCGGGCTGAAGCGCCGAGGGGCGCGGGCGGGATTTATAGGACAGACCATATTATTCCTCAGAGGACGCTTAAGCCACCGGAGTTTACGTTCCGTAATCACTCGGCTGATTTATCGGCGCGGCGGCGGGCGGAGGCGGACGCCAGGCCGGGCGCCCGGCGGCTCTGCGGCAGCAGCCCCCCAGTGCAGGGCCGGCCTGAGGCCGCCGGGCCGCGGCGACGCCCCCAGGCCTCCCTGTGGGACCGCGCAGGCCGGGAGCCCGAGATGGCCCGGAAGCCGCGGGTTGGGTTTTGTTTCTGGTGGGGAATCCGTGCGCCTTGAAGGAAGCTTCGCACGAGGCCAGGCCTTCCCCCCGGGTCCTGGGTTGCTGGCCTCTGGTTCCACCTCCGGCAGACGTTTGCTCTCGTGCGTGGGCCCCGGGGGAGGGAGGCCGGCGGCTCCGGCTTGGCCTCAGACCCGTGCCTGGTGCTTCTGTCGGTCCCTGGGGCCGTCCCAGGCTACCACGCAGCTCTCGCCTTTGCAGGTTCTCAGAGGGGCCCGCGTCCTGACCCACGTGCCTCAGGCCGGCTCGGGCAGGACCCGGGAGTTGTCCACAGTAGCTTCCCGTCCTTTGGCACCGCCACCTGGGCCCTTGAGCTCTGTAAACAGTGTAATTCTGTCGGAATCTGAAATGTACACACTGGGCTCACGCTCAGAGGAATGTGCTCCCTGCCCCTAGGCCGCCTGACCGAGGGACGGTCCGCCTCCCTGTCCTTTTTTTCTCCAACTTTCTCCCTGCACCCCTCCTTTACCCCTCCTTTTCTTTCTTTCCTCTCTGTGTGCCTCTGCTGGGTCTGATTGCTTGTGTTTCTCTGGAGGAACAAGCAGCGTTCACCACATTGATTTCACAATCCTTGTTAGGTTGTACAGAAACAATATTAAAGGATATTTCACGTTTGTGTAGGGTGCAAAAGCAAAACCGCTTAAGCTTCCGTGTTGAACAAGGATTGACCGTTAAAGGAGGGCTGTGTTAGTTGAGTACTACCTCTAAGGAATTGTAATACAGAACTCGGTACAAATGCTTTGGTAAAATGGGATTAACTTTGTTGTACCTCATATTCAGAGAAGTTTTAAAGCTTGCGATTACCGTTGTGGGTCCTGTGTTCCTCTCTATAAGAGGCATATTTGGAAAATGTCTAGTTTCATTTTTAGGCACCATTTCCCTGTAAGGAAAGTCACATTCCAGGCATCTGAGCACTTTCAGATGTGCTAATAACATATCCTGGCATTGAAGCCGTCTGTCATTGGTAAAATACTGAAAAAACAAACTACATTGAAATATTTGTGTGGAAGGAATGGGAAATTCGCCACAGAGGTTTGTGTATACTGAGCTGAAGCTTAATATTTTCAGTCTAAACAAAAAGTTATCCAAAGCAAAAATACCCTAACAAGTGTGTTATCAAAGTAAGCTGATGAAATGTGGAGAAATTCAGCTTTATTTTTTAAATCATCTGTATGGAAGGAAATATTGTAAGATCGGTATGGGATGACTTGTTGAGTTATGAACGCAAATAGATCAGGTTCCTAGACACCAAGATGAGAGGGGAAGTCCAGTTACACTGTTTCCTGCTCTCTTTTTTGCTTTTTAACCCCAAGGTGTGGTTTGGCTGAATTTTTGAGTTGTCTTACGCAGCCGGTGGACTTCCTGGCCTTGTGTTTAAAGGCACTGGTTGGTTAGACCAACTGGCGGGAGTGATGGCCCAGTGGAGAAAGCTGGTAGAATTAGTTGATTTAACAGCGTCAGGTAAAGAAAGGGTAGGTTCTGGCGGAGGCTTGTGGTCTTTATTGCTGTCGGTTCCGGTTCTGTTCCCTGTGAGAGCCGGAGGAGCAGAGAGGCCAGCAGCTTGTTCACTGCCCAGCCAGCTTTGTAAAAATCCAGTGAGGGGACTGTGTGTTTCACCAGGTGCCTTCATTTCCAGAGAGAACTGTTTAGTTTTACCTGTTCCTCTCCCAGCGCCGCAGTCTCTCCTACTGCCCCTTTCCACCAATGAAATCCCTCTGAAACAAACTGCCCTTATTAAAATTCTTCCGCATCCCCAGTTCACTTTCAGTTTAGCTTGTGTTGATTTGCATTTCTCTTAAATTCCTACACCATCCAATGGCTTTGGAAGTATGATTTTTTTTTTCAGGATTTATCTTGACAAGGGGATCTCATTGCATTTTTAAGCGTACTCATCTGGGCATAAGTGTATATGTGTGCAGTGTGGGGGGGTGTGCAGTCCTAGGTGGGTTCAGTGTAACATCTCTCCCTGACCCATGTGGTTCTGCAGGGGCTGTCATCAGGCCCCTCCCAAGGTCACATCCAAGCAAAGCCTTCAGGCCAGGGGACTTAGGCTCAAGTCTCCTTATCCTTTGGATCCTGGAACACAGACTTCAAGAATAGAAATTGGGCTGGGAGCTGGTGTGTGGGAGAACGTGAAAATGTATGCCTACTTCTGCTCCAAGATTTCTCTCACGTGAGAGGGCTCTGGAAGGCCATTGTTAACCTTTCCTGTGTTTTCTTGCAGGGGAAAAGCCTTTCAAATGTGAATTTGATGGCTGCGACCGGAAGTTTGCCAACAGCAGCGATAGAAAGAAACACTCCCACGTGCACACCAGCGACAAGCCCTACTACTGCAAGATTCGAGGTTGTGATAAATCCTACACTCACCCCAGCTCCCTGCGGAAGCACATGAAGATTCACTGCAAGTCCCCGCCACCTTCCCCGGGAGCCCTTGGCTACTCTGCGGTGGGGACTCCAGTGGGTGCCCCCTTGTCCCCTGTGCTGGACCCAGCCAGGAGCCGCTCCAGCACTCTGTCCCCTCAGGTGACCAACCTCAATGAGTGGTATGTTTGCCAGGCCAGCGGGGCCCCCACCCACCTCCACACACCTTCCAGCAACGGAACCACCTCCGAGTCTGAAGACGAGGAAATGTATGGGAACCCTGAAGTTGTGCGGACGATACATTAGAGTTTATTATTATGATCAATAATAAGTGAGATAATAACAGGGAGTCCTTGGACCATATCCTAACCTGAGACAAAGCTGTGACTCAGACCGGGTCTAATTAGCCCTATTTATTCACTAGGAAACCCTATGGTGTTTGTACATTTAATTAATTTAATTAAGATATTTGGGCTTTTTGTTTTTTCTCCTTCTTAAAAAACAAACAGAAAAACAACCAAGCTGGACTTGTACATTGCAGGGGGAAAGGGCTGGGGGCAAACTGTACCAAGGAAGATGGAGAGATTAATCGAGATACACACTGCCGATGCTGTATGTCTGTCTGTCTACCTATATATGTATGTTTAAAGGAGGAGAAAACAAGCATTAAGTTAGAACTTAACACAGCCACCAGGCCCTCTTGTGTTTCCCAGAGTGCCTCTAGAATGCCTTTGACACTACCATGTAGGCTGCTTTTGAGCCTCCTCGTTGGGCCCTAATTCTACAAAGGCCTCTTGATTGTAAAACACACACTTGCTGCATTGCCAACAGATCCTGGACTGTGCCTGTGTCCAGAAATATTTGTAAAAGCCCTTTCAGTTCTAATATTTATGATTTTTTTTTAAATGTCCACTTTTTTTTTTTTTTTTTTACCAATCTCATTCTAGTGTGATATTTTTATACGGGATTATTTGTTCAGTACCCTACTTGTGTGACTTCAGAAAGAAGACGCGGCAACCTGGTATCTCTTCATCTGTTGTTACTGTGATTGTTGAAGCAAAAGTGGAGAGAAAAAAAGCTGCTGCCATAGACCACCTGTGAAACTGTGATATTTTATAAAACAAGAAATCCAAGTGCTTTCTTTTTCCTCTATGGTGGGTTTTTTTTTTTTTTTTAATCTGAAATCTCAGATGCTGCCTCCTTACTATGTCCAAACTTCTTGTGTAATAAAGAGATTTCTTTTCGATCAAAACTTTGGGATGCCGACATTCACAGCAAGGTCTGAGGAGATGTGATGATGGCATCGTGCCTATGTTTTTGAAAAGCTGTTTCAAAAACAGGCCAACTACTCTTTTATACTGTTGTATCAACATTTTTAAAGTCTTTATTTTTCAAAGCCTAAAGCTGCATTTTCTCCACCCGAGCACTGAGCACACAGAAGTCTACTCCATTTGAAAATGACAGTGTGTGAAGTGTAGGATGTGCACGGAAAGGGGAGGGGGGTTGTTATACATATTAAAATTTTTAAAAGGTTTATAGTTACCAGCAAACACTGATGAATGTGTGACCTTTGCCAGATCTGTCAAGGGAGAATCAGAAAGGTCAAGGACCCAGGACAGTGACTCGTAGTCAATTTATTTTCGGTTGGTACAACACATCTCCTGTGCAAAATGTAGTCCATCAGAAGCATCATACAAATATACTAAAGAGCACTAATTTACCCTCAGAGACCCTGAAGACAGCCCCCTCCCCCAGGGTTTGTAGAAATTTGTTTTGTGTGCTGTGAGTGGTTGATGTAGTCTTGTCATTGTTAATAACTTGTATGTGAACACTTTTATTTGTACAGTTGAATTAATTTATTTTTAGACATCATCTTTTTTTTCCTGGAAGAGTTCAAAACACACCAAAGAATTATATTATACATTTTGGTGAAAGATTGTCATTTATGATCCATGATTTATTTAAACAAAACAAAAAGAGGAAAGAAAATGGAAAGATATATTTTTAAGCTTACTTGAATGAACAGCGTAATGTGAAAACCAAGTCTCTTCCTGCATGTCTTTTTTGCATTGTGTTGAACAAGATGATATATATATATATATTCTAGAGTTCATAGATCTGTTGCTAGTACAGAGCATGGTGCTGTCATTTGGAAAGCCTTCCAATGTTGTCTTCAGACTGTAACAGTGATGATGAAACATGCAGACCCTCCTTTAATGCAGAAAAGGACCATAAAACTTGAATATAAAGTCATTCTACATTTCTAAAGTTCATTTGCTGTTTGTATTACTCAATTTCAAAGCCCTTTCAAATAGGAAAGATAAGGTATGGATGGGGGGGATAATTTATTGTAAACTTATTCGGACAAAATATTCCTGATGTATAATGAGTTGTTTTATTTATACAACTTTTTCGATGGTAGTTTGCACTATTCTTTATTATGCTACAGGTTTATTTATTATGAAACAAAGGAATATGTATTTTATGTATTTTGCCATGCATAGGTTAACTCTTTGCCACAGATTTATTGGTTCCTGATACACCTGAAATAAAAACTTAAAATGTGTACCTCCAATAGAAAGAAAACAAGAATGATTATGAAGTGACAAATCTAATAAAGGTATTCTTCCTATGTATTGCTCATGTCCTGCCTGATGGCATAGCTCTGTGATTCCCTTAAAAAGAAAAGGAACAGGTTGCTAAGATAGGGAACATTAGGCTGTCTTCCCTTGATCTCTTGATTTCTTAGCTTCTCACAAGCAATACTGTATTTTTACAGCTTGGTTTAATTTGCCAGTTTAATCTAGAAAATACAAGATCTTTATGAAGGCAAATCCCTTGCAGGTTGAATTTATGGTAGCGTACACTTTAGGGGTTACTGTATTCATGTGTTAAAATTAATATGCTTAGCAACAGTGATTCTCATCATTGAAAAGCTAAAAAGTGCATTTTAGCCTTTCTTTGGTGCCTAGCCAGTAAAGTAAAAAGAAAAGATGGAAGGACAGTGATAGACTTCCAGACACAGAAAGTGAAAGAAAAAACTGAGGTGGGTAGTGAATGAAATTGAGTGGTGAGAATCAAATTCCTCTAATATCAGGTATGGGAGGATCACAATACGATTTTAATGTGCTTTGTATTTTTAAGTTGAGTGAATAGAAATAACAAGCTCAGCATTTTGAGGCAAATGTTGAAGAAACACCAGTCTTTGAAGACAACAAAAGTAGTTTAATGGATTTGGCTACGCACATGAACAAGCCTGCAGGTTTGCACGTTTTAATGTTAGGTGATACAAAACTGATAAAGGGCAAATAGTTAAAAACAATTGGCAGTGATGTCAATAAGCATTTCTCCCAAAAGTTATAGTGGCTTTGAAAAGTCAGGATTGCTAAATGTAGTCAAGGTGAAACAGGTTGCAAAGAGTGGTTTTAAGCCAGATGACAATGACCAGCACACGAAGGAGAAAAACACTTCTAAATGAGGCCTCCAGTCAATGGGGAAACTTACAGCTCTCTAATGAAGTTTCTTGTGAAAAGGAGGGTGACACAAAGCCACCAGGACATGAATCATTCATGGGAAATATAAAAGATAAAAGATATGTGACAATGAGCAGACCCTTGTATAGAGTGTATAAAACAAGTTTCCCCTTCTTATTTTCTGCTTTAAAACGCACCATCTCCCACTCCCAGCGTTCTCTGTCCAGTCTATAGAGTTAAAATTGACCACTGCTCGTCCTGCGCCACTTCAAAGTAATTTAGCCCAGAACGGAAGGCTTGGTGCTTGGACGCTCTTCATGGTGTGTTAAGATTTCTATGGCAATTGGCAAGCAAGACGTTCCCATCTGAATATGTCTCAAAGAAAGCCACTTACTGACACTAAGTTGGCTATCATCAAAGACTTCATCTTCCCTAGGCAAAACGCAGCCTGGCAAACACTGTTTAAATCACCCACCTTTGTTTTCCAGACTAGGAAAATCTTGATTCACGTGGTTATTTGCAGGTTATGTGTGCAGGTACATATATATATATATATGTACATATATATATAATATGAAACTAATGCTCCTAAAATCTAAACAATTTAGAGCTTGAGGGTTGAGATTACATTCTCAGAAGGAGCTGCAGATGGCTACACAAGTGTCACAGCACTGGACACAGGGAAAGAGACGGTCCAACGCTGCATACGTATTTGCACTGCAGTATCAGGAACCAATATCTTGCCATTTTGCGGAAGTTTGGGAGACCACCGTGGTCTATCTATCCATCCATCCAACCCATCTCCCTCTACATATGAGACAGAAGATTTTGGCCACCAGCATTTTTCTGAATCCCAGTTGGGTTCGGAAACACCGCTCTGTGCGGAGAGGGCATGGGGCACACTCTGGTTTCTCAAAGTGATGGCCTCCAGTCTGAGGAGAAGAAGGCAGAAGCGGCCTTTGTTTCACTTCCTAACACTCACCCTGTGGCATCCTTACTTGTTTGCCCGTGCACCTGCGGCATGCCCAGGCAGGGGAGCACGGCAGCCTTGCAAGGCCTGGACGGATGGTGAAGGAGGTGCACGGTGGAAGCACCCTGAGGCTGCCTGCCAAAGCTCACAGAGCTCCTACCAACCCAGCACCCATGCCTGTGCACTCCTGGATGCCCATTCGTGCACAAGGCCGGTGCGTAAGCAGGCGGGACAGTCACAGGCCTGTGTGCTGAAATTCAGAGTGCTGCTTTCTGGGTCCAGTGTCACAATTGCTATGGCAGTGGGCAAGGCCAGGAGTGAGGCTAGACCCTCATATGAAGATACAGCTGCAATGACTTTTACTTCCATGCCAAGTTAGCTCAGTGTTCACCTCTTCAGAAACACACACACACACACACACACACACTCACATATATATATGTTCACTTTTTAATTCATTCCCCTTAGAACCTCCTAGCTCGAGAGAAAGGAGGGAGAAGGCAAGGAGAGGAGAGAGCCGAGTAGGGGTAGAGGGTGGGTGATATCAGAAGGGGGGGGCACTGGGGCAGGAGCGCCCCCGCCCCAATTCCTCTTCCTTCTCTCCCCACCTAAGCACTTTTATTTGCAAAGCGATTGTTCTTTGTTTATTTAATACAAGTACTGTGTGAATGGTGAAAAATAAACACGATGAAAAATAACCAAACAGATGATTCCTTCGAGTGAAAAAGCCCGGACTTCATAAAAGTGCGACGCAGTCACTGCTGAATGAGAAACCCTTTGAAGTGGAACTTATTATAGGAGGAATACTTTGGGGTTGCCTTAACGACGCCGCTGAATCGAACGCGCTCGCCTTTGTCAGCGATTTGTTCTCCTTTGCTCGGGTGCCGGGAGAAATTACTTACATGGGCTGCCTTAACATGCAGCCTGCGAATCCGTAACTTTGCAGCTCAGACTTGCAGACGCCACTCGGCAGCGGACAAAAAGAAGTCAGGGGGGGAAACGCACCAACCTTTCACGCCCAGTCCCCGGGGATGGGGGGTGCACGGGCGTGCTGGGGGCGGCCGATAAGAAGTTGTATTACAACCGGGCCCCCCTCGCCCCGGTCTCCCCGCCCCCACCCTGGAGCGGGGGGCTGGAGGCCCGAGCGGTCGCGGGGAGGACGGGTGCGGGAGGCTCCGGCTCCCCCGGGGTCCTCCAGCGCGGGGCGCTCTCGGGCGCGCAGGCCGGGCGCAGGACTTTCCCAGCGATCCGGGCCATATTTAATAAGGGTCGTTTATCACCGAGGCGCCTGGAAGGGTCGCCTCCAGCCCTGCGCCCATTAGAAAGGCGGAGGTGACATTTAGACTCCGTTTTCAAGGATCGCGGGGGGACCGCATTGAAAAGGCGACTCGTTTGTCTTAGGAGCCTGGACACAACCCCCTTCTCGCTCCTTTTGACCACATGGCATAACTCAAAAACAATAGTTCAAAAGTGAAATGGCATCGTGGTGTTCACTCGGAGACAGGCCCCCATCCAGCACGAGAGAAAGGCGGTAGTCCTCAAGACAATGTCCTTTTTGTGTCGGCTCTGTCGCGAGGATTGTGTTGTTTGCTTTGGAGGCTGCGCCTGTTAGATTTCCCTCAAAGTGCCTGTGTTAAACAAGAGTTATAAGTCATCCAAAACAACAAACATTTTTATTTTCTTTGCCTAAAGGGCTTTTCCCTGGCTATGGGCACCGTGAAAAAATAATGTCCTTGCTGAGAAAGGAACACCAGTAGTAGCATTACAAGCGGGCGCATTAAATATTGAATGACACGGGGAAAAAGAACTTGTCGAGGGGCACTCAGCCTTAAAGTCTTTCTTCAACTTTGTCCTCGGTGGCTGCCGGACTATTTAAGATGGTATTAATTAAGGCGGCTTCGGATGCCGCCGAGCCGGCCGGCCCCTGGGCCGCGCTCGGTCAATGGGCCTGTGTCCCCGCGCTGCGCTCACGCGTTGGCTGCGCCCAGTGCAAATGTCACTTCTCATTTGCAGGCTGGCGAGAAGGGCCCATCCCGCAGGAAGGGCAGCGGGGATGCCGTCAGCAGCAGGCGTTAAAGGAATACGAGGGACTGGGGAGAGGGGAGGCGAGCCGGGAACAAAATGCGAACAGCTGCCCGGGCGGGGGTGGAGAGTGCGCCCGCGCGCCACGCTGCGGGCACGTTTCCGAGAGCGCCGCTTGGCCAGCAGGGCCCACGCGGGACCCGCTGGGCTTGAACACCACACCCGCTTCCGACGTCCCTGCGTGGGGGAAAAGGAACCCACCCCCAACCACCACAGCCCTGGAAACATTCCTGGGCCTTCTGGCTGGACATTATTTTACAAAGGGACTCGCTTCTGCAAAGCCAGACAAAAGCCCGGTGCAAACAGACGTCTTTACCGACTTCCTCCCCCACCCTCACCCCCACTCCCACCCCCGCCCAGCCCCGGCCCAGATTCCAAACAAAGCCCAAAGGACCTCAGCTAGGGATCTCCAGATCCGATTTTACAGATGGGGAAACTGAGACCTCAGGCAAGACTCAAAGAACAGTTTTTGTCAACATTCCCCAAGGAGCCAGAGGTTGAGACCCACGCGGAGAGCAAAGGCCCCGAGCAGCCGTGGACTTTTGCTTAAGGTCGCCAATAACGAAGTCAGAATACCCTCCACTTTCCCCCAGTGTTTGATTCAAAACGAAATGGAAATTGGTTTCAGCAGTTGCAAATTCCCAACTTCTTATATATATACACCAAACAACTCATTGCCAATTAACTGTGGCGTACATGGAACGCATGCTTTAAGAAACTGTTAACTATCAATTCTTGATGAAGAGACGAGGCTTGGCTGGGTGCGGGTGGGGCCGCAGATTGATGTTTGCAAGCAGAACCTCCACGGGGGGGGGGGGGGGGGGGTCTCGCGGTGCGTAGTTCCAGCCGCATTCATTTCTTTTGCGAGGCCCTTTGCCGGTGGGGGAGACGCCGTAAACCCTCTTTCCTCCCTGCGTGATTTGGCCCCTAATTGTCGGGTACAGGGCGGGATGAGCTCCCTGAAGCCTAGATCCACTTGCAATGTCTGATTCTCCATCTTGGGATGTGTCCCCTCTGACCTTTGGGGTGCGGGGAGGTCACATTTCCCACCAAGAGTCACGCAGCGGGGTAGTCCCAACGCGTCCTGCACAGGCTGTGTGGTGTCCGCAAGCG